TATCCTCCATCAAGTGTATCATTAATCCTTACAGATTTTCTTCACTTAAATATTTAACATATGTGCATTTCTCCACACCCACCTCTTCTAATTTATTTCAAGATTTTTTTTTTTCCCCTGCAAAGCTGCAATAGAGTTGCTGTTTTGTATCAAAGGTGACAAAGCATTTATGGGTTCAGCTTCCGATGCACAAATGACTCTATTCTTTCCTCATTATATCGCTAAAATCATATAACGTGCTTAATCTGTGAGAACTAAAGTTCAACTGTTGGACCATGAAATGTTGCATCATCTTGCTTATAATTTAAAACCCAGGGACTTTAACAAATTTAGGTAACAATCTGGTGATCAAGTAAAGTCCTATTAATGGATGGGATTCATTTGGATCATTCAGGTTGCAAAGACAAATTTGGTGAGTTTTTTGTTTCCAGAGATTTGAATTAATATACATAGGAGAGATAACAGTAAATGCAATGTTATTAATTGGTAGTTTTCAAACACAATTTCTTCTGTGCTTTGTTACAGCTCTTTATATCCATTGAGTGTTCTGTACCTCTCTTAATGATTGGGAAATAAAAAAGATTTCCAGCTCTTAGAATAATTTATTTTCTCTTAATATGTATTGTCAACAACAACGGTCCTAAGCTTCAGAGCATAACTAACACTTTGATACAGACCAGCTTTGTTCCTTTACAGTATAAAGTTCAAGATTTATATTAAGAGGGACATTACGTACTTTTCTTACTAAAATAAATTTATTCATGTGTATATGACTATGTTTGTGTGTTGTGTTTCAAAGTAGTTTTCAAAGAAAATTCTTACTTTTCTAATTTTAATTCATGTCAACCCTATATTCAAAGAGTTCTTTGAAATAACATACTGAACAAGGTAAGCTACCTGCTTACTGTGAAGAAAAATAAAATAGTTCTAAGGGGGCACAATACGCCCCATAACAGCGTTAGTAAATGATATTAATTTAACATATATTATAATTTATTATATTTAAGGAAATCATGATTACCATATTTATCATGGACCCTTTTTGGAGTGTTTACTAAAGAAAGTGATGGATGATATATTCAGAAAGGAAGGCTGGTGTTGCTAGGGTAGTCCATTCCATATTCCTTCCACTTGCCTTAGTTATGTAAACAGGTTCAGTGACTAGAACAGATCCACCAAATGCAAAAAGAAAAAAAAGAAAAAAAAAGTTTAAAAAAGAAAACTAAGAATTTTTTTTCTAATTAAATAATTAGTTCGGTATTTTCCCCATGACAAAAGTCCTTACTAAGGGCCCATATTACCTTTCCACTACAAATATTAATAAACTAGATTTTAAGGCTACTCTCAAATACATACATAACAAAAATACAAAAGTTTAACAGAGTATCAAAAGACATATGAGCACAAGAAAAAAATATACATGCTGTATAAATAGACAAAATTGTGTTTGTCTGTTATCTACACATATCCTTCTGGGGAAAGCCCTGGGAGAATCACATATGTACCATTGTTTGACCTTTGCTGCTACTCATAAACGGTAGTACTTTTTGCTATTACTAGTAAATGATTTACTATTACTAGTAAAAAGTGAATGTTTCTTCATCACCTCCTGGGATTCCAAGAAAACACACACATACACACACACACTAATGAAGAGAATTGTTCTAGTAGGGCAGACTACATTTTAAAAAGCTGTTTTATATTTCCTGGCAAATCAGCGCTCTCGTGTTGATGTGACAACAGAAGATGAGGAAATGCACAACGGTGTTAAAGAAAATAAAATGGTGTCCATGTGTCCCCAGAGGAATTATCTCCTATTTGATGAGATAATTTCCTGTAATTGAGAATAAGTTTACTACCTTCATGATGAACCAAATCTAATGGAAATTTTTAGCCTTCCTCTCTCCCCATGACTAGATCATAATCAGTATTTACCTAATAGAAATAGCGATAAAATTGAATCATCAAATGCTACAACAGCCCTGTAATATTACTTAATATTCACAATGGCCTTTGAATGTATAACACTTACATAAACAATTACGAAGATGTTGTTTAGAATAGTCAGTGAAACCCCAAAATAGAATCAAATGTGTTGTTCCTTAAATATAGTAAATTATACTATATTTTAAATTAATATCATTTACTAACACTGTTATGGGGCATGTTCTATCTGAACAGAACAATTTTATTTTTATTCACAATGAGCAGGTAGCTTTGTTCAATATATTATTTCAAAGAACTCTTCGAATATAGGGTAGAAAAAAATTCTCTTGGCTCGTATTTTGAGAACTTAATAGAACATTAATCTGATATTTAAAAACTGCCAAAAGAAGTTTTTAAAGATATCACCTAAACTTGAGAATAGGACATTAATATTCCGAGTTTTAAAAAAATCATAATCCTTTTTAAATACCTTCAATATTCATCAAATCTCTGTTTTTTGTTTGCTTGTTTTGTTTTGTTTCGAGACATAAGGAGAAAAGTATTAGAAGTAGTTTAATGCCTTAGATTCTCCCCAAACAAGACTCACATAGGTAAGAGGCCCAGCAATATTGCTGTTTCAAGTGAGGTTGCCTAGCAACCAACCACCCGTGCTCCACAGTGCATTAGTGCCAAGATCAACTAGCCTGGAGATCAATTATAAAGACAAAAAATGAGGACAAAAAATGAAACTGTTAGTGAAGTGCTCCATGGAGTAAAAGAGTATTCGGGTATTACAGGGTAAAACTACTGTAAAATACCTCTCCTTATATCTTTTCTTTCAGAAACACATGTATACAAAGATCTCAATAAAGAAAACTTTACCAATTACAAAAGTCACAAGCATTTTTGGGCTATAAGTAAAAATTAGTGATCTTTTTATATTGTATCTAGCAACCTCTGATGTGACAAGGAAGATGTTTGGTTTTTTGTTTTGCTTCTTTTAAAATGCAGTTTTGTATGTTATGGAAACTTTGAAGAAATGATTTCTGTGATCATTAAGATATGGTTTAAACTGACATACTGAGGAAGAAACTACTTAGTCTATGGATTAAACGGTCACTCCATTCCTTTGCTTCTCAAGTTTTTTAACCTCTCTTTGGAGCTATTAAGCAGGGGATCATGCAAATTAAGTGACAGTAAAGTAAAAATCATATCCCAAGTCTGATTGCATATTTTATCTATAAAACAAGAAGTTTGGAAGAGATGTTCTCCAGGTTCCTTCCAGCCCCATTTTCCACTCTTCCAGCCTACCATAATTTCTCATTTTACATTTTCCAGAAGTACTTTTGTGCTCATACCAGTAGTTCCCAAACTAAAAGATGGTCTCCATTTAATGATCATAAAACAAATTATCACAATGTTCAGCGTTAATTTGAATTATGACCACAAAAGTAAATAAATATTAATATATATTAGATATATGTAATAGTTCACTAGAGTTGCCATAATAAATTATTATATACTTGGTGACTTAAAAGTAACATATATTTATTTTTTCATAGTTTTGAGGTCAGAAGTCTAAAATCAAGGTATTGACATTGTTAGTTTCTTCTAAAGGCTTTAAGAGAGAATGTGTTTTACACTTTTCTAATTGCTAATAGCTTTTACTATTCCTGGGTCCTTGGCTCATAGATACATCACTCCAATCTTCACCTGCATCTTCACATAGCTTTCTAATTTGTGTCCTGATTTGTCTCAAATATCTTTATTCTTTCTTTTATTAGGATTCTGTTTTTTGTTTTAGAGTCCACCCTAAATCCAAGATGATCACACATCAAGTTCCTTAATTATATCTGCAATGACTCTATTTCAAAATAAGGTTACATTCACAGGTATTGAGAGTTAAGGCTTGTAAATATGTTTCTGGGAGTAGAAAATTTAATTTACTACAGTATAATTTCCTTAACATTTTACTTATTATACAATTTGTATTAAAAATTCAGTATAAGAGGGAAGTACTAGCAAAACATACTGATATTTTAATATGATAAACAATTTTGCTTTGCTTTAATATATAAACAAAGTTTGTATATTATGCTACTATATAGAAAACATATTTTTCTATTATGACTTCAATATGATGCAGAGAATAAGGTTTCTAATAATTATATTTTACGAAGTGATAGCTCATATTTTAAAATCTCCCAGAGAGCAGTCACAATTGCTTGTGTAAAGTAGGCAAGTCTTGGTAACACTCGAAAGCTGTTTTTTTCTGTGAAGAGAAGGTTAGTATTACAACATATGTAACTGTCCATTGAGAACCAATAATAAAAAATAAATGTCTGCGTTGTTATCACAATTACTACAATTGATGGAGTAAAGCAAATTGTTAAATAAGAAGACAAAATCCACATCTTTTTATACATTTAACACATCAACTTGTTCTCTTTGCTTTACAAATTCATGTGGTAGACATTATTATCCTTATTTTGGAGGAAACTGAGGCATATAGAAATTATATAACTTGAAAAAGATCTCAAAGCTTGTATTTGGCTTGAGTGCTATAGAATAAGAGAGTTGTCTTTGTTTTGTTTAATTGGGTATACATACACCTTTGCAATATCTAGTTCAACTGTTGTAAAATCATTGCCAATTGTATTGGTTAGGGATCTCCAAAGAGACAGAACCAATAGAATATATAGAGGACAGATAGATAAATAGATAATAGATGATAGATAGGTAGATTGATTAATAGATATGAAGGGTTTTATTGAGGGAATTCTCTCACAAAATTATGAAGGCGGAGAAATCCCATGATATGTTGTCTGCAAGCCAGAGAATCAGGAAAGCCAGTAGTGTGACTCAGTCTAAGTCCGAATGTTTCAGAACAAGGAAGGTGATGATCAAACTTTCAGTCTGAGGCTGAAGGCCTGAGAACTCTGCACATCACTGGTATAAGTTGTGGATACCAAAGGCCAGAGAACCTGGAGTTCTAATTCTCAATGGCAGGGAAGAAAAGAGTCCCAGTTTCAGAGACAGATGGAGAATTAGCCTTTCCACTGCCTTTTTTTAAATTATTATTCAGTCTTTTTGTTGTATCAGAGCTCCCAGCTGATTGGATGGTACCCATCCACATAGGCTGAAGGTGGGTCTTCTACTCAGTTTGCTAGTTCAAATGACAATCGCTTTTGGAAAGACCCTCACAGACATACTCATATATAATGCTTTGCCAACTACTTGGGGGTACCTTAATAGAGTCCTAAAATTAGGACTCTAAAATTAACACCTAAAATTAACCATCACATAAATCATGATATATCTTAATATAAATGTAATCATGAATGTAAACAAAATGCCCACATTTTCTATTATTAGATATATTTACAAAATTATAGCATATAATCTCTCTATAGATTATTGCACAAATAAAAATATAGAATTAACAGTACACTTTATAGTGAATAAAAATTAAATAAAATTCATCTGTGGATATCTTCAGGGGTTCATTGGTCTATTTCGGTGGCTCCCAAAGGCCAATGGGTCAATGGAGGATCAAAGATGTTTTCACCGACCTTTTGCAAAACAAAAATATTTTTAAAATGTTACACACATTTGGTTACTTTATAGAAGAAAAATTCTTCACTGTGTTTAACAACTCACATTAATAAGTAGATTACTGCAAGTTGGAATTTTAAGATGTATATGAAAATCTAACATTTATTGACACTTATTTAAATGTAATATATACTTTATGGGCTATTACTCATGAAATCTTCACAATTATAAAATGTGGGGGCTGCCTTTTTGGACTATGAGAATTGGAGTCACACACCAGGAATCACAGAATAGAGCTGCTATAATGTCTGATGACATACCTCTAGAAATTTGTAAATGAGAAAAATAAATTTCTGCATGCATGATCTCTGTTAATTTCACTATTATTTTACTGCAGTCTAAACTTATCATCCCTGAAAAAAGTAGTTATCATTTATTTGACAAATAAAAAGCCTATGCAAAGAGTTGAAATGACCAAGATCACACAGCTGATAGATACATATCTGGGATGGAAATGTAGCTGTCTATAATGTTGAGACAACAGTACATATAGTCTTCTAATGGTTTCCCATTCTACACAAATAAAAATAGAAAGTAATAAAACACATGTTTCTACTGAGTGGAGTCATTTTTTATAGGTTAATATTTCCTTCTCTCTGCATTTTCCAGTTAATGCATCACTTATTGGATTACTATACAAGACCTATCATTGTTTAGAAAAAAATACATTTCATATGCATTATTTTTTATTTTTACATCTCAATTTGAACAAATTTTAGTCCTACAATTTAAAACAAAAGTGGATTTTTGTATTAGTAAAAATAATGTTTCATATAAGCAAAATGTTTCAAATTTTTAGACAATGTCAACAGCAAATTCAGTCTTAAATATGTTTTACTTATTACTCAAGCTTTCAAGTAATTTAATGATTTAGAAATGGTGTTTTGACATTAATATTTTAAACACAAAAATAAACATTCAAACATGTTTAGCAAATTATAAAAAATGTAGTCTATGCATTTTTTTGCTGTCAAAATTGCTATAAAATTAGCAACTTCTCATTTTTTCATATTCTTATAAGTATTCTGCAATAGATCTTCTAGAAAAGAGCTGAAGTTATATTCATTGGTATGTTTGAATCTAGGTCATGATTTCTTTGTACCTGAACTATTTTTTGGCATAGTTCACTAAGTTGCCATGACAATATGAATTTTAAAAATTAGACAAACACCTTTCTAGAGAGTATTTTTATTGTTGTTGATACAATTATAGGGACTAAGAGCATTACATTGAAGTGAAATTGATTTATCTTTAACTCCAAGTGTACTGGCTGTGTGACTTTGGGCAAAGTATTAAGGCTCTTATATAAGCCTTATTTTCTTCATCTGTAAAATTGTGATAATAGGACAATTTACTACATACGATTGCACTGTGTGAATTAAATGAGAAAAATACACAAAAGGGTTTTGACCATGAACTTAATGAGCTCCTAGAATGTGCAGAGGCCCAAGAAACAGAGAATTCAAGACAGGGAGACATGAAGGATAAATTCTAGGAAGATGTAGAAAACAAAATCCAAGGACATCAGCGCTGAGGAGGATATTATCAGTCACCCATTCAGGTGGGAGTAGTCCAGAAACCTGGGTGAAGTCTTCATGAGAATGTCATTGATAGAATAACTGATAGTTATGAAAATATTTCTATGTTTACAGTTCTGAGGGAGAGTCTGAGGAGGCTGAATAATGCACATATAAAAACCTAGGAGAATGGGACGTGAGGGTGATAGTCATATTCTGATCTTGGGCAGGGATGGGGGAGAAAGGAAAGCAGGACAACCTTTCAGATGTACTGCTTGAAGGAGGGTTGTGTGACTCTAGTGGGCTTGCTTGAGGGAAGCTGTATAAAACTTCACCCAGAACTTTTGTTCCTATAAGCATAGCTAGTAAATTGAAACTTCATATGTTTTTTAAAAAGCAGAGACAGTGTGCCTTTAGTTAAATAACAAAGCCTACTAGGTTGCTTTAGTCTCAGCAGATACCATGATCTGGCAGAAATAAAGAATAAAGAAACCTGCTTTGCTACATAAAGAATTAAAATGCAATATAGCAGCTGCTGAAATAACATGTGTAAATCACAACAGAAATACTAAAGAGATTAAAACCAATTGCAAGTGATAGAGAAATTTTCATGGTATAGATGCTTTGAAGTTGGGCCTTGGTATAGAAAATTAAAATGGGTAGCAGGGCAGATAATCAGCATGTGCACAGGTAGCAATGAGGAAAGGGAGAGAGCAGGTGAGGGAAAGATACAGATTTAGTGAGAAGTAGGTAAATGACGGAATGAGAATAACACAGTAGATTGATTCCTGATTTTAAAAGACTTTGCTCCAGAATAATGAACTTTGCTTTAAGAAATGAAATGCTTTTAAGTTAGATAAAGTTATTCTCAAAACAGATGTTTTAGAAAGACACTAACTTTTCTGACAGTGTTTAAATTGTATTGGGATATAAAGCATCATGAGTATCAAAGGCAAAAAAAATTAACAACAGAATTAAAAACATATGTATTAGTTACTAGGATTACCGTAGCAAATTGCCACAAATAGTGGCTAAAAACAACAGAAGTCTATTCTCTCACAGTGTTGGAAGCTAGCTGTTTGAAATAAAGGTGTCCATGAACCATGCTCCCAATGAAGATTCTAGGGATGAATTCTTCCCTGTTTCTTTCTCACTTCTGCTGGTTCACAGCAATACCTGGCAACCATTAGCATTACTCCAATCTCTGTGTCAATCTGCACATGGCCTTCTCCCCTGTGTTTATGTCTGTGTCTCTTCTCCTCTTTTTGTAAGAACACTTGACATATTGGATGTAGGGCCTAATTTAGTCCAGTAAGACTCAATCTTAACTTGATTACATCTTCACAAACCTTACCTCTACATAAGATTATAGTCTAAGGTTCTGTGTGGATGTAATATTTGGAGGAGTGTGCTATTCAACCTACTGTAGTCATCCGTATGTCTCTCCCAAAATTTATATCTGCTTATGTGCCAAATTTATTCTCCTAATCCTAACATCCCCATTTTTTTTAGTTAATTCCAAAATCTCATCTAAATATCATCAACTCAAAATGTTCCAAATCTCATTATCTAAATAAACCTAAGTCATAGGTGCTGGCCAAATTTCATCTGCACTTAATGATATAACTATTCTTGCTACTGGTCATTGTTGTTATAACTATATAACTTAAATTGTCAATAATTAATAAAAATAGTGCAAAAATAGATTTTTGGTGACTGATGTCTGGTGGGATAATGCGCTAAACACAAAATAGTATATGCTGTGTAATTCCATTTATATAAAGTTCAGAGCTAAAAATACTAACCTGTACTGATAGAAGTCAGAAGAGTGATTACTTTTTTGGGACAAAGGCATAAAATGGAAATGATAAGAAATATAAGGGAGACTTCAGAGGTGAAAGAAATTTTGTTGTTGTTGTTGTTGTTTTTTAATCTTGAATTGGGTAATAGTTACAGAAGTGTATACATTTTTGAAAATATACAAAGCTACATAATTAAGCTTTGTGCATTTTCAGAAATTATTTAAAAATAAGTCATCCAGGCACAGGGGTTCACGTCTGCAATCCCAGCACTTTGGGAGGCCATGATGGGCAGATACCTTGAGCCCAGGAGTTCAAGACCAGTCTGAGCAATATGGCAAAACTGTGTCTCCACCAAAAAAAGAAAAATTAGCTAGACATGGTGGCACATGCCTGTAGTCCTAGATACTCAGGAGACTGAAGGGGGAGGATGAGTTATCCCTGACAGCGGAGGTTGCAGTGAGCTGAAATCATGCTGCTGAACTTCATCCTGGGTGGCAGAGCCAGACTCTGTCTCGAAAAAGAAAGAGAAAAAGGTTGAAGTAATACATAAAGTTTTAAAAGTATAAATTTTCGTTTTTTTTTAAATTTATTTATTATTATTATACTTTAAGTTGTAGGGTACATGTGCATAACGTGCAGGTTTGTTAGTACCATTCAGGACATAGGCAGGGGCAAAGACTTCATGTCTAAAACACCAAAAGCAACAGCAGCAAAAGCCAAAATTGACAAATGGGATCTCATTAAACTAAAGAGCTTCTGCACAGCAAAAGAAACTACCATCAGAGTGAACAGGTAAAGAGCTTCTGCACAGCAAAAGAAACTACCATCAGAGTGAACAGGAAACCTACAGAATGGGAGAGAAAATTTTTGGTAATCTACTCATCTGACAAAGGGCTAATATCTAGAACCTAAAAAGAACTCAAACAAATTTACAAGAAAAAAACAAACAACCCCATCAAAAAGTGGGCAAAAGGATAGACAGTTCTCAAAAGAAGACATTCACAGCCAACAGACACATGAAAATGTCATCATCACTGGCCATCAGAGGTGCCAAAATTCAAACACAATGAGATACCATCTTCACACCAGTTAGAATGGCGATCATTAAAAAGTCAGGAACAACAGGTGCTGGAGAGGATGTGGAGAAATAGGAACACTTTTACACTGTTGGTGGGATTGTAAACTAGTTTAACCATTATGGAAAACAGTATGGCGATTCCTCAAGGATCTAGAACTAGATGTACCATATGATCCAGCCATCCCATTACTGGGTATATACTCCAAAGATTATAAATTATGTGCTGCTATAAAGACACATGCACACGTATGTTTATTGCAGCACTATTCAAGATAAATAGCAAAGATTCTGAATCAACCCAAAATGTCCATCAGTGACAGATTGGATAAGAAAAAATGTGGCACATATATACACCATGAATACTATGCAGCCATAAAAAGGATGAGTTTGTGTCTCCTTTGTAGACATGATGCAGCTGGAAACCATCATTCTTAGCAAACTATCACAAGAACAGAAAACCAAACACCGCATGGCTCCCTTAAACTACAGGTGGAACTGAACAACAGAGATCACTTGGACTCGGGAAGGGGAACATCACACACCGGGGCCTATCATGGGGAGGGGGAGGGGGAGGGATTGCATTGGGAGTTATACCTGATGTAAATGACGAGTTGATGGGTGCAGCACACCAACATGGCAAAAGTATAAATTTTCAATATGAAAACTTTTCTCAGTGCATTCAACAAACTTAACAAATAAAAGATGCATAAAAATTTGTGAAGCAAACAGAGGAGAAGCAAGTGTAAATGATTGGTAGAAAGTCATACTCTAGAAAAATTATTCTTCATATTGCTTCACAGAGCATTTATTTGCAGCAGAGAAAATATTATGTCTATGGTTTATGAAATAACCTCAGAACATCATTTATTAGAACTTAGTTCAAGTACCATTTACTGATATTGGAACATATATTTATCTGTTTAATATATTTTATTTCAGACATGTATGTCACTTTAAAATTTTCTCACTTATATAATTTTTCATTGACCCACAAACTTTCTGCAGTGATAGTATTAAAATGAGAACATTTTCAGTATATATACTAACATTATTCCATTAATATGTATCAGAAAAATTCACTTAAAAAGTCTGACAGCATTTGTGATAAGTGACAGTGAGGATGTAAATATAAAGTTAGATCCTTAAACTCTTCGTTCCTATGCTTTATTCCTTTTCAAAATTGATCTGATAACTTTAAGGAGGTCAGGATTGAGATATAGGATACAATTGGCCAATTCTATTAAATATATTTTGAAAACTCAATATTTATTCAAGTATGTTTAATAAAGTAAACCTAGCTTTATTTAAAAATGTTACTTGTTAAGTGAGTTATTCAGTAAAACTTTTATATTAATTTCTTATTTAAAAGTTTTAAATTAATTTCTTATTTAAAAGTTTTACAAGTGTAAATATAAAGCTGTGAAACAAGACAAAAATGGTAATGGTTAACTAAGATGATGCAATACATTCTAATGTGGAAAAAAGTGATTTTTTTTTTTTATTCCAAGGTGATGAATTAGAGGCCTTTAGCATGCATCAGCCACTTGGAAATAGCAAGATAGTGCATAAAGATTAATTATATGAAAAGGAAAAAGGGAACCCACCAGAATTGTTGCAGGGAAGCACAAAGAGATCCAAGAAAAGGTTAAAAATCAACACAAAGAGATTTCTAAAGCAATTCAGGAAATGACAGAAGAAATAAACATCTTAACAGAAAAGATGAGCTTCTGGAATTAAAAAGTCAGAGCTTTCTAAACTCACTTAAGAAATTTCAAAATACAAAAGAAAGCTTTATCAATAGACTAGGACAGGCAGAGGAAAGAATTGTAGAGCTTGAAGATTAATCTTTCAAACTAATCTAGTTAGGGAAACATAAAGAAAAAAGCATTTAAAAAAATTAAAGTCATTGAGAAATATGGGATTATGTAAAATGAACAAATCTATGAATTACTGGCATTTCTGACAGCAGGAGGAAATTGTAAAAAAAATTAGAAAACATATTTGAGGGAATCATTCAAAAAAAATAATCTTGTTAGACAAGTATACATCCAGATACAAAAAAAATCCAGAGAACAACTTTGAGATATTATACATGATGAACATCACCAAGGAATATGATCACCAGATTGTCCAAGGTCAACACTGAAAAAAAAATTTTAAAGGCATATATCAGATGATGCAAACTTTAAACCAACTATAGTAAAAAGGAACAGAGAAAGGTATTACATAATAATAAAATATTCAATTAAACAGGAAGACTTAACTATCTTAATATATACTTACCAAACACTGGAGAACCTAGATTCATAAAACAAGTACTTCTAGACCCCAGAAAAACTTAGAAAGCCGCACAATAATAGTGAGGGATCTCAACACACTGATAGTGTTAAACTTATTACTGAGGAAGAAAACTAACGACAAAACTCTAGACTTAGACTTAACACATGGCCAATTGCACATAATAAACATCTACAGAATACTTAACCCATCAACTGCAGAATATATATCTTCGCATCTGCACATGGAACATACTCCAAGGTCGACCACATGGACCATAAAATAAGTCTCAATAAATTTAAAAAAATTGAAATTATATCATTATACGCTGAGACCATAATGGAATTTAAATAGAAATCAATGCTAAGAAGATCTCTCAAAATCACACAATTACATGGAAATTAAGCAACTTGCTCCAGAGTGACTTTTGGGTAAACAACACATTTAAGGAAGAAATACAAAAAGATTTTGAAATAAATGAAAATAGAGAAACAACATACCAAAATCTCTGGGTTGTAGTCATAGCAGTGTTAAGAAGAAAGTTTATAGTAGTAAACACCTGTTGCAAAAAATTAGAAAGATCTCAAATTAATGATCTAAAATTGTTATATAGAGAAACTAAAAATCAAAAATAGACCCACTCCAATGTTAGCAGAAGGAAATAAAAAAACTAAAATTAGAGAATAAGATAATGTAATTAAGACTAAAAATCCATACAAAAGAAATCAAAATTTCTTTTTTAAAAAGGATAAATTGACAGATCATTAGACACATTAACAAATAAAGAAGAGCCAAATAAGCACAATCAGAAACAACAAAGGTGACATTACAACCAATCCCACAGAAATATAAAAGATCTTCAGATACTATTAACAACACCTCTATTCACACAAACTAGAAATCTGGGGAAAAGTAAATAAATTTCTAAGATGGATTCAGATCCAAATTTTACATGATACACACAAAAAAGAGCTGGTACCAATTCTAGTGAAACTATTTCAAAAAATTAAGGAGGAAGGATTCCTCCCAAACTCATTCTATGAAGCCAGCATCACTCTGATATGAAAACCTGGAAGAGAAATGACAAAAAAAAGAAATAAAAAAACTAGAGGTCAATATCTCCAATGAACATGGACACAAAAATCCTCAACAAAATACTAGCAGATCAAATCCAGTAGCACATCAAAAATTATTTCATAGTGAATAGACTTTATTCCTGGGGCGTAAGGTTAGTCCAACATACACAAATCAATAAATATGATTCACCGCATAAACAGAATTAACACAAACCATATTATCATCTCAATAGATGTGGAAAAAGTTTTAATTGAATCCAACATTTCTTCATGTTAAAAACCCTCAACAAACTAGACGTTGAAGGAACATACACCAAAATAATAAAAGCCGTTTATGACAAACCCATAGCCAATATCATATTGAATGGGCAAAAGCTAGAACCATTCTCCTCATTCACTGGAACAAGACGAGTATGTTTAATTTAACCACTTCTATTCAACATACTTCTAGAATTCCTTGCCACAGCAGTCAGTCAAGAGAAATACATAAAAAGCAACCAAATAGGAAAAGAATTCAAACTTTGTTCTTCACTGATGATATGATTTTATACATAGAAAATCCTACAATCTTCACCAAAGGCTCCTGGAACTGATAAAAGACTTCAGTAATGTTTCTGGATAAAAAATCATTGTAAAACATCAGTTCTGTACAAGAATAACTTTCAAGCTAGGAACCAAATAAAGACACACACACACACACACACACACACACACACACACACACACAAAACCTGGAAATATAGAAATATATCTAACCAAGGATCTACAGGAAGAGCTACAAAACACTGTTGAAAGAGATAATAGATTACACAAATAAATGAAAAAATATTTCATGCTCGTGGATTGGGAGAATCAATATCATTAAAATGGTCACACTTTCCAAAGCAATCTACAGATTCAATTCTATTCATATCAAGTTACCGATATCATTTTTATACAATTAGGAAAAAACTATTCTAAACTTCATGTGGAATCAAAAAGAGCTTGAATAACCAAAGCCTAAGGAAAATGAACAAAACTGAAGGCTACTATAAGGCTACAATATCCAAAACAGCATGGTACTGGTCCAAAAACACATCAACCAATGAAACAAAATAGAGAATCTAGAAATAAAGTTGCACACCTACAGCCATTTGATCTTTCAGAAAGTCAACAAAAATAAGCTATGTGGAAAGAGTTTTCTATTGAATAAATGATACTGGGAGAGCTGGCCCAGCTGTATACAGAAAAATGAAGCTGGATCCTTACATTTTACCATGTAAAAAAATTAACTCAAGATGGAGTAAAGATTTAAATGTAAGACCTTAAACTGTAAGAATCCTAGAAGAAAACCTAGGAAACACCATTCTGGGTATTGGCCTTGGGAAATATGGCTAAGTCTTCAAAAGCAACTGCTATAAAACAAGAATTGACCAGTGAAACCAAGTTAAACTAAAGAGCTTCTGCACATCAGAAGAAACAGAGCAAATAGACAATTTACAGAATGGGAGAAAATATTCACAAATTATGCATATGACAAGCATCTAATATCCAGAATTTATTTATAAGGAACTTAAACAATTAAACAAGAAAAAGTCAACCCCATTAATTTGTGGGCAAAAGACATAAGCAGACACTTTTCAAAAGAAGACATACAAGTGACTGACAAACATACGAAGAAATTCTCCACATCACCAATCATTAGAGAAATGCAAATCAAAACCACAATGAGATAGCACCTCCTACCCATCAGAATGTCTAAAACATCAAAAAACACCAGATGCTGGCAAGGCTACAAAAGAAACGAAATACTTATAAACTTCTGGTGGGAATGTAAATGAGCCTCTGTGGAAAGCAATTTGGAGATTTCTAAAAGAGCTTAAAATAGAACTACCACCGAACCCAGCAATCCCATTATTGAGTGTGTGTGTGTGTGTGTGTGTGTGTGTATGAAAATAAATTATTCTACCAAAAGGACACCTGCACCCATGTGTTTCTAACGGCACTGTTCACAATAGCAAAGACATGTACACATCTTTGGTATCCATCAAAGGTGGACTCAATGAAGAAAATGTGTTTCATAACACCATGGAACACCATGCAGCCATAAAGAGAATGAAATTATGTTCTTTGCAGCAACATGGGTGCAGTTGGAGGCCATTATCCTAAGTGTATTAACACAGGAACAGAAAACCAAATACTACATATACTCACTTATAAGTGGGAGCTGAACATTGGGTTCTTGCGGACATAAAGGTGTTAACAATAGCCACGAGGGAGCACTAGAGTAGGGAGAGAAGGAAAGGACAAGGGTTTAAAAACTTCCTAACTGGTACTGTGCTCACTCCTCAGCATCACACAATGTACCCATTTCAAGTGTTCACTTTTAGTCAATGATCAATCATTCCGGGGCTTGTCAATAGAATGTGTTCACGCTTAGAATGTTGCATAATTCTGGCAGTTGCCTTATTGTGGATGCAATAACCACAACTTGCAATTGTGGAGTACTATACTAAATAAAGATCCAGAATAATCAAATTTTAGAGGATCATATAAAATATACAAGAATACACCTGTTTTCATCATTCCACAGAATTCATTTATTCTCATTAAGCTATTTTCTATCTTCGTTTATTCTCTTTGCCACCTACAAGTTTCTGCAGCAGTATGTCTTTTTGTTAGATAATAGTTTCAATTTTCTTTGTTCTTAAGTTTAATTAGAAATTTCATTGAGATAGTTAAATGTCGTTTTTTGCCAATTTTCCCCTGAATTCAGCTAGCCTCTAAGAAGCGATACACAGAAGGATAAAGCACTTGATAATTTCCTCAATATAAGAACTGTGATCTGCTAAATACTGATAGCTATAGTGAAAATGGTAAAGACCTGTAGGACTGGTTTTCAGACTTTGATGTGCATCAGAATGCTTGAGAAGACTGAATGTTAGTTTTAGTTCTCCAAAATATCCATCCATACCTCCTGTTTTCTTGCACCATTCCTTGCATTACTTGGGTTAATTAGGGTCTTCTAGTGAACTGATGTTAAAATGAAATTATAGGTACAAGATAGACATTGAAGGAAAGGACTGTACAGATGAAGAACAGAGAGTCAAAGCGGGGCAGGAAGCATTCAGACTAAGATGTAAGAGTGACCCCAGTGAGGGGTAGAGGTGAGGAAGTATTTGATATGAAGAGTCTCAGACTGCAGCACAGTTCTAAAAATGCTTTGGCCAAAGTATTACAGTGGGCCAAAATTGCCTGTTAAAGGTCTTGCATCTTGCAGAAATCTGCCTCCTTTAGTACACCTGCTCTACTCAGTCATTGGGTAGGAGTAGTCTTTACGCAAAAGTGAGTCCGGATGCAAAAGCAGAACAGTTGAGGCCATCAGTTAACCTTGCTCCTACAGCAGGAGATCTGAGTGGAACATTTCCTTGGCCAACACAGCTTGTCAAAACACACATTTCTGGGCTCCACTCTGAAGAGTTCCTGATTTAGTAAGTCTGGAGGTGGGCCTTGGGATTTGCATTTTTAACAAATTGCATGTACTGCAAATCCAGAGACCATATTATGTTCAATGATTATAAAAACAACATTCATTTGCTAAACTTACTTCTTAGGATATCCTGGGGTTGAGACTTAAATATATATGCTAAAATAAAGTCTTTTTTGTACATAAAGTTTCTCTGGAGCTTGACCTCAGTAAAATATTGAAGAGTTCAATGAGTGTGAATGTTAGTTTACAAAAATGCATAAGTTCTGCTGAGATGAAACTGCTTTAACAGCATTTGTCTAGTGCAAAAGAAAAAACCTGGGACTCTTTTCTTGCTTTGACTGACTTCTCAGAAAAGAAAACCCAAGTTTTCTTTGTTACATTTTAATAGTTAACATCCTGTATATTGAAACAATACATTGAAAATTCAAAATGCATACAGGAACCATGCGTTAGAGTGAGATTATGCTTGGGGAAAAATTATTTAATTAATAAAATCTGCTAATCATGCAGGCCAAAATTCCAATGTGTTGTGTTCACAGTTGGTAAAATAAATAAATAAATAAATAAATAAATACATAAAATAAAAATAAAACTGTCACAAAGATTCTCTTGCATAACAAAGAATTATAGGGAATAATTCAGATAATCAGTTATTATATTTAGGACTTTGGCAATAGGCAATGTAATTTTACTCAGCAATATTGGGGTAGGAAAAATAAAGACCTAGCATCTGAGACAAGAATAAGAACAAACAGGTTGAAAAACAATGAAACTTACCACCTATTAGGCAACACAGGTACTCAATGCTCCTCAACAGAAGATCAAGTCTCTTCTTACTGCTTAAACAAATGGAATATTAAAGCAAATGTGCAGTCTATCCCCAGAATCAGTGGGGCACCCAGATGCTAGGTCCAGTAGAAGGACTTATGCTAAGAGTACTATCTCAGAACTAGAATTGAGGGAAAGAGTGAAGGAAATGTGCTAGTAACATTAATTCAACCCTATTAACAAGCAAATCAGACAGTAAACAATGAGCAGAGGAGAAAAATCACCTGTAGAAAGAAAGTGGGCTCTTAAAAGCTTTCACTAGGAGCAAATACATAAGCAATAACTGAGACTATCCTACAATTAAGAAGAAGGTTCCTAGGACTAGCAGAAAATATAATAATAAAAAGATAACCAAAAAAGTACAAATTTTATTCAAGGAAGAGGTGAAGCATCAACCAGATATCATTCTATAATCACACAGTTTAAGGCTTATCAGTTTGTTCATTGATTTGTTTTTAGTGAATGAGTTTCAAAACTGTCTTCAAAACAAATTGCATATTTCCTGTGACTCATAACACAAAAATATGGGTAGTAAATGGTAAAGTTTTCACTATGGAATGTAGGAACGCTATTCTTAGTTTTGATTTATTTCAGAAAGTCTAAGTGAAGAAACTTCTGCATTATGGCTTTATATTTGTAAGTTTATATCCAAGTTCATTCATGTAAATTAGATGATATTTTAATACAGAAATATAAACAAAGTAAATTCAACTGAACTCTCACCATAAAGTTTTTTAAATATTGAAATTATGAAAAGCCAAAGACGCTAAGAGCCATAAATAGCTAAAGAGGAAACAGAGGATTCTTCCATAGGACTTACAGAAGGAGCTTGGCCATACTGACACCTTGACTTAAGACTTTTAGTCTACCCTAATGTGACAGAATACACTTTTATTGTCTTAAACAATTTACTTTGTGGTACTTTGTTATGGAAACCCCAAGCAACAAATACAGATTTTGGTACCAGTCATGGGTACTATTGTAACAAATTCCTAAACATGGTTAATTGGTTCTGGCATTTTGTAATGGCAAAGACAAAGAATTTTGAGATGCATGCTGGAAAAAGTATATATTGCCTTGAAGAAATTATTGTCAGAAATATAACCATTGATTTATATGAACAATATATATATGAATAATATAATTTATATGAATAATATAACCAGCAATTTTGATGAGGCCTCAGTTGGAAGTGAAGATAGTAACGAAAGTTCCCATTTTCTTAGGGACTACATACATCATCAAGAACAGTATATCTGTAGAAATACAAACATTAAGGGTGCTTCTGGTGAGTTCTCAGAAAGAAATAAGTAGCATGTTATTGGACATCGGAGAAGAGGCAATCCTTGTTGAAAACTTTCAGAAAACTTAGCAGAATTAATAGATAGTGTTGGGTAAAAATTAAAATTTGAATATTTAGTTGACAAGATTTCCAAGCAATCTGTGAAAAATATGTTCTGTTTTCTCTTTGCTACTATTAGTAAAATGTGAGCAGAAAGAGTCAAATTGAGGAACACATTATTAAATAAAAAGAAACAAGAATTTGATGATTTGAAAAATCTCCAGCCTATCCATATTATAAAGGATGTTAAAGCATACTCTACAGAGAATGCCTAGAACCTTCAGAGAGAGCATAATCCTGTTACAACTTTCTTTCAGACTTAGTCCCTAACATTTAAGTCTTTAATCCATCTTGAATTAATTTTTGTATAAGGTGTAAAGAAGGGATCCAGTTTCAGCTTTCTACTTATGGCTAGCCAATTTTCCCAACACCATTTATTAAATAGGGAATCCTTTCCCCATTTCTTGTTTTTGTCAGGTTTGCCAAAGATCAGATGGTTGTAGATATGTAGTATTATTTCCGAGGGTTCTGTTCTGTTCCATTGGTCTGTATCTCTGTTATGGTACCATTACCATGCTGTTTTGGTTACTGTAGCCTTGTAGTATAGTTTGAAGTCAGGTAGCGTGATGCCTCCAGCTTTGATCTTTTGGCTTAGGATTGTCTTGGCAATGCAGGCTCTTTTTTTGGTTCCATATGAACTTTGAAGTAGCTTTTTCCAATTCTGTGAAGAAAGTCATTGGTAGCTTGATGGGGATGGCATTGAATCTATAAATTACCTTGGGCACTATGGCGATTTTCATGATACTGATTCTTCCTATCCATGAGCATGGAATGTTCTTCCATTTGTTTTTATCCTCTTTTATTTCTTTGAGCAGTGGTTTGTAGTTCTCCTTGAAGAGGTCCTTCACATCCCTTGTAAGTTGGATTCCTAGGTATTTTATTCTCTTTGAAGCAATTGTGAATAGGAGTTCACTCATGATTTGGCTCTCAGTTTGTCTGTTACTGGTATATAGGAATGCTTCAGATTTCTGCACATTAATGCCAGAAAGTAAAACAAATTATGCAATAAAATTTTCACTGTAGAAAACATTAAGCAATCTCCAGAAAATAAGGATTAACTAAAGGAGCATACACAAACTTTTACTCTTGAAAATAAATGGCACTAACATTCTTACTAATGGTCAGCATTAACTCTGGAGATTATTCCCTTAATCGTTTCCAAGATGCTAACAATGAGGACTATGGACTTAGAAAAAATTATGCATTGATTAATAGGACTGAAGAGAGTTTAGAAAGTATTTAGTATACAACCATTTCTCCTCTTATATTGTATATGAAAAAACAGAAGTTTGGAAATAGTAAGTGACATATCGAAGATGCAACAGTGAATTAGGGGCATGGCAAGAAAGAAACTGAAATCCATGACTTCAAGTGAGGCCTTTCCTTTTGAATAATATACCACATTTGGAAGAACAAAAGCTTTGGAGAAAGTTGCTATCATGGGAATAACCATCTAACATTCATAAAATAAAATGAGTATAATACTGGAGTTGAATATGACTGTTTAAGAAATTAATAATGTTTGACTAATAATAGCACTACTGCATCTATATACAACTTTATTTCAAAGACACCTCACATATATTCAAAGAGCTATATTTAAAATAGCAAAAACATATTTATAGAAACTTTTAGGTACATAATTGTCAACAGTATTTTAATAAGAAAATCTTGTAGAATATTTCTCTACGCCAATTTATGTGATCAAGAAAACCAACAGCATTTATTCGCATGTGGTATGTAACAAACTTGAAATTTTACTTTATATTTGCATATGGTATGTGAAAGACATAAATTGAATAAATTCCTAACGAATCAAATTAAAAATAGCCTTTAATTATGTGATGCACACTACTTCCTTTGACTAGCCCATACATGAAAAATTAAAATTTACAAGAGCATTGTAAATGTCTCATTCAATGGAGAAAAATAAACACAAGTTGAATTATATAAACTGGAATCATTTCTGGAATAGAAACACATTGTCATTGAAAGTTTAGGTAGAGCTAGGTAATTTATGAATGAATTTCTAGTCTGCATTGTGAATCAAAATGATTTGGGAATCTAGAATTTCATTCGCTTTTGTCTCTTCTGGCACAATATTGAGATCCATTTTTTAACCCAAAATTTCATCCAATAAACATTTAAATATATTCAAATCTCTACTAAATTAAACATACCCTGTATAGATGCAAATGCAGGCATACAGATCTTTCTCTTGAATGCGGTTTCTGTTCGATCTCTCTCCTTTCAACAGGTGGAAAGGGTGTTCATTTTATTTCCTAACTCGGTGGTAATCTCAACCTTTTTCATGGCTTTGATTGTCATCTTATATACTGATTATTCATAAATTTGATTTCCAGAATTTACCTCTGAGTTCCAAAATCAGCCATCCAAACATTCAATTGATATTTCCACTCCAGCATCAAATATTTCCACTTCAAAGGCATGTAAATCAAACGTTGTTTAACTAAACCACCTCCCTGAAAACCTGGTTCTCTTTCACTGTTTTATGTATCACTCAATGCCACTGTACAAATTAAAAAGCCAGGAGTCGACTTTGAAATCTCCATATCTAACGCACCATAAAATATCAGATACTTTAATTATTAAACATCTATCTGATTTTTTACTCCACTACCTCATTATTTTTTTCATTTGTTTTCATCAGTTTTACAAGATTTATAGAATACTCCACTACTTTAATACAAGAACTTATCACCTCTCACCTGGATCATGGTACTATCATATTAAATAGTCTTACTCTTTTACTCTACAGCCTAATCAGCACAATTTCCACAGTGTTGCCAGTAATTTTTTTCTTTTCACTTAATAATTGCTGTTTTTAAAAAATGTGTAAACATATATGTAATTTTATTTTAATGTGTAATTACACCATATGATTTGATAGTCTATTTTTCTTTCTTCTTTGCTTTTCTCCATACTCCCTCTCTTATTACATCTAAATCCACATCATTCCACTCTACTTATGTAGCCTATGTTAAAAAACTAGTACATATTGCACCCTTCCATGTCATTTTCCAGCAAAAGTAAATATATATACACACAAACATTCATGCATACTTTAAAGTATTTATATTTAATTTTAGTGTTCTTTTAAAATTTACCATATTAAATTATTACATTTTTGCGTTTTCCTAAATAACATGTAGGTATTGCTATAAATTAATTCATACATCTCTAATTCATTATTCTCAATGACTACAAAACATTTCCTGGGTTAAGTGAGCAGAAATTTATTCAGGCTTTTTTATTGACACATCTTCATATTTTTCTACTTATTATCTACATTGTGATTTTTTCAAACCTGAACCCAATTATATCTACCTGAACTCAACCTCTGACCCCCAAAACACAAGGCCTGTGTGTTTTACCTCTACCTACCTCTGAAGCCTCATTGACTCCTATACACCTTTGTTCACTTTGAGTTACACACACACACAGACACACACGTGCCTACACATTTCATTCAGTATCTTCTCTTCCTAAAGAATTCAGCTTTTTGTTACATATCAAGAGATCTTTTGTTTCATTTTTCTAAATAACATATTATCTAGTTAAATGTCTCCCAGAGCACCAAACATCAGAGTATTGCAATTATTATTACTTATTATTAATGTAATATTACATTAACTTGTGGTTTTTGTCATTGTCAGTCTCCTTGACAAAACTGTAATTTTCACAAGTCCAGGAATTTTTTTCTGCCTTTTAGTTTTATATTTATTTCAATTTCTTTGTTTGCTTTTTCTTTTGAGACAAAATCTCACTCTGTCATCCAGCCTGGAGTGCAGTGGTGTGATCTCAGCTCACTGCAATCTCCCCTTCTTGAGTTCAAGCAATTCTCATGCTACAGTCTCCTGAGTAGCTGGGACTACAGGTGTGCGCCACCACACCCGGCTAATTTTTGTATTTTTGGTACAGATGGGTTTTCACCATGTTGGCCAGGCTGGTCCCAAACTCCCGACTTCAGGTGTTCTGCCCAACTCAGCCTCCCAAAGTCCTGGGATTACAGGCATGAGTTGCTGCGCTGGGTCCATTTTAATTTCTTTACATCTCTAGGACTTAGTACAAAACACTGAATATACTAGCAGTCAGTATATTTGATGAATAAATTATAATAAATAAAATAAACACAAAATAAGAATGAAAATATTATGACTACTGAAAATATAAATTAATATTTGAAGAAAAGTTAGAAGAAATAGATTAGTTTCAATATTATATTGAATATTATAAACATTTGCAATTACTAAACATAAATTGGATTTTGAAGTTTCTTAATAAAAAAGCAGCTTGAAAAAAAAATTAGTTATTTGGACTAACCAAAGTGAACTTTATATTATAGTACTTAGATGTAAAATAAATATTTCTATTTGGTACTTAATGAGTTACAATTTTCTTGAAATTTTTTAACACTCTTTTGAAATTAATATCCCTTGGAAATCATGACAATAATCATAATTACAACACTTATGAATTCCTACTTGATGGCTAATATTGTTTTATGCACTTCACGTACATTATATTATAAACTCTTTACATACCTCAAGGGACAAGTCTATTATTTTCATTTTAATGATAGTGATATGATGGTACATAGAAATTAATGTGGCCAACTTCCTAGAGCTAACAACTAGAGAAGGCAGAATGTTTAATCTTCCATTTAATAAAATTAAAAAAAATAATAGCATAGAAAAATCTAAAGATGATTCTCAAATGGTTTATGCTCTATTTCAAATCTCCTCACTGCATATTTATTTTTCTGCTAAGTAGTTTAAGACACTGTTTCAGTATCTACTGCTGAATCATAGATCTTCCAACTTAATGGCATAAAACAAAACTATTTCTCATGATTTTATGAAATGACTAAGGATAGCTGAGTGGTTCTTAGTTCCTTGCTTCATCAGATGGGGTTATTAATTCAGCTGCATTAAGGTGATAGTTAGACCAGACTGAAAGGTCCAAGAAGGCTTCACTTACAGAACTATTCCACCAGGCCTTTCTACATGGGCGCTTTGCTTCTTTACAGCTTGTTGGTCTCAGGAAAGTTGAAGTTCTTACGTGGCAGCTGGTTTCAAAAAAAGACCGAAAGTGAAAGCTGCCAGTCCTTGTAACAGCTGAGCATGGACCTGAAGTTTCTACTGGATGAACCGCATCACAAGGTCAGTCTGGACTGCAGGCGAAGCCAGTCCAGATCCCAGGGAAGGGAAAATGAAATTTTCCACTGGATGAAAGGGGCAATGATTACATGTGGAGAGGAAGATAACTGCGTATGGCTGTCTTCGGGGACTATAGCTCAGTTACACACCTATACGTTATAATTATTTTTCATATATTTGTTTTCCTACTCTTTTGTGGTAGTATTGGAAATAGTAGAATGTGAAAAAGAAAGTATTATGAAAGAACAGAAGTATACGGGAGGCTATGTACCCAAACATTAGTATTTTAATGCGGAATTTGAAATGACCCTGAAAATCCTTATTTTTCTTTAGGTTTATACAAGGGCAAGGAAGATTGAGCAACTTATGCCATGGACTAGGGGCAAGAAAGAGGAATCTGTGATTTTCGACTACTGCTTGTAAATCAATAAAGCTAAAAATAAAACAAATCAAAACAAAACAAAATCCAAGGTGCTTGATGAATATAGGCAGGACAAGAATGGAAAGAAAAGGGAGGGACAAAATGTAAAGGACATTGAATGACAGGCTGAGGACCTAAACTAGACCTTTTTGCCCAGAGCAAGCACTGGGCTTATTATATTAAACTAGTAGAGACAATATAACTAAGGGAGAATCATCCAGAGGTTACTTTGACTCACTCAGCGATGCCCAAATTTTGTCAAATGTTTAATTGTTTTTTAAACACATATTTTCCTAGCCTTGAAATATTATGACAAATGTTTTAGACAAGGATGTTATTGATAGTGCCAAACAAAATATCTTTTTGTTTTAGATTTTTTTAAATTTTTTAATTTTATTATTATTATTATTATTATTATTATTTTTAATTCAATTGTATGAGTAATCACTTTTTTAAAATTTATTTATTATTATTATACTTTAAGTTCTAGGGTACATGTGCATAACGTGCAGGTTTGCTACATATGTATACTTGTGCCATGTTGGTGTGCTGCACCCATCAACTCGTCATTTACATCAGGTATAACTCCCAGTGCAATCCCTCCCCCCTCCCCCCTCCCCATGATAGGCCCCGGTGTGTGATGTTCCCCTTCCCGAGTCCAAGTGATCTCATTGTTCAGTTCCCGCCTATGAGTGAGAACATGCAGTGTTTGGTTTTCTGTTCTTGTGATAGTTTGCTAAGAATGATGGTTTCCAGCTGCATCCATGTCCCTACAACCCAAATGTCCATCAGTGACAGATTGGATTAAGAAAATGTGGCACATATACACCATGGAATACTATGCAGCCAAACAAAATATCTTAAGTTAAACGTTTAGAAAAGTGTTATGCTCAGCAAAAGGAATTAAATGATTTTTCTGAGACTTCTAAAAATATGTATCATTCAGTTAAAATAATATATGTAAAAAGCTCTACAGAATAAATGTTATTAGTATCATTAACTAATAAAACTAATTTAGAGCCTAATATCTCTTACATGACATCAGGATGAAACAATAATGTCCCATCCCCTATAAACACACTCAGTCAACCTAATCCTGAATAATAGCAGCAGTACATACATCACTAAAACCAGAGAATTTGAAAGGTGAGGAATTGACTAACTTATTTGACCCAATTTTAAACTTGTTTTTCATTGCCACCTTCAAACATCTGCAGCTTCCTTACCTCTTTCGGTCTTCATAGAACTGAAGAGAGTTAGAGCCTTGCTCTGGATTAGGCTTTGGAATGAGGGAAAGTCATTTATTAAAATTCTTATTTTAAAATTTTCATTTTTACCCTTTTAAACTTTATTTCTCTTTTGGTTGCTTATAGTCTTTTGGTATGAATGTGTGGTTATTATTATTCCCTTTTAATGAAGTCTTATTTAAATTTATTAATATATTGTAGTTAACTGTAATGTATGTATTGATATTAACTGTTTAATGTGTGATGTGACATTTTAAAAATATGTTAGTTTCCATATTTATATACATATGCTATAGCACATATATTTTATGTTTTCTATATTTGTAATATGGTGTCCGTATGCTTTATTTTATGATAAAATTTGTTTGGTTTTTTTTTAATTCCATCCTCCCCAATTATTTTGGAGAGTAGTACATTGGTCTTTTTCATTCAACCAATGCTTACTTTTACTTAAAGAAGAAAAAATAGAGAAATAATAAAATAGAGAAAGGTAGATAAAGAAGGAGATAAACAGGGAAAATGGAAAAGATGTTATGTTTAATACATAAACTTCTATTATTCAATGTATAAAATTAAGAAGTATAACAAAATATTTTACTCCCCTCTGTAAAATTATAGATACATCTTAATATTTTAAAATTCATAATATTTTATCAGAACTAGAATAATTCCCTTCTTTTATAAACGTTTGCTTAAGATGTTCTCATTTTTTCAGTCCTACATATTTGGCACAAATTATTTTTGTGACATATATCAACCTTCTTTTTACTCTCAAATGATTATTTTCTTGCTAATATTGTTTTATGTAATAGAAAATTGAAAAGGCAGTGTATAGTTTCCTGGATCCCCACAGCCCACAGCTGGTATCCATCATGCTCTGGATCCCCAAGTTGAATAATTGATGATATGTGGCCTATTTGATTTTGAGGAAATTATATTCTACTTGTGGCCTATTTGCTTTTGCTTTAATAAAGCAAAGGGGGAATGTACTAAAGTTTATTTGAGTTATTTGAAATATAGAACTTGAATTTCTACTTATCATAATCTCTTAAAATGTATGCGTAGCCAGGCAATTTAAGCATTACCATCAATGGAGAACAGGCCTTGAATTTTAAATATCTCTAAAGGTACTATACTAAAGTTTTGTTATTATTTTGGGGTTCAGAAATCATATACCTGACAAAGAGTTTCTTTAGATTTCAGGGGGGTGAAATGCAGATACTGATAAATAGGTGTGATTATGAAAAGCCTAGCAATTGCCACCCACTGTGTTGAGCTAAAATTAAACAAAAGACAAATAAATAGCCTACTGGTCATTGGCTAGCACAATAACATAAATTGATTATTTCAGTGATGCATGCTTTTATATAAGCATAAGAGTGACACAAGCATTTTTAAACAGTTCAAATTATTTGTCAACTGTTGAGAAATTTCAGCTAGGATTTAAAGGAGCACAACATAAGCAAATCACGTAATAGCCACACATTGGTGACAAACTGAAAATTAAATTAGCCTGGCAAAGAATTGCTCAAAATTGTTAAGTCATCAAATCATCAAATCTCTTCCCAGCAGGGATTTGCTCTGAATAACCCCATGCTTGCTATTCATTCTTCCTATTCGTAATTGTATCATTTCCTCTTTATCCTACTCCCCTATCAAAAATAATTTCTACCTAGAGCACATATATGGAAATCCATAACAAAGCAAGCAAGACACAGGACAAAAACACAAAGCATTTTAAATTTATTCTGATTGCTCTTCTGATTACAAAGCCCATGTATCTAGTCACATTTTCATAACTATATTTAAAAGCTTTTAAAACCTTGTGTTGATATCTGAGAGTTACTTATAAATGAATCATATGTAAAAAGTTAAAATGGCATTCTCTGGTTGTAGAAGGCAAGGAGGCCATTTTCTCTTCTCTCTTCTCACAAGGGTTTTCTTAGAGGCATAATGAATCCGAGTCCATATTTTAACATTTGGAATAGAGATACACTTCTCTAGGGACGGGGCCCATCATCAGTTTTTACAATGTAGAGATATCACTAAGGTCCAGGCCAGATGACTTCTAAAAATGTAAAAATGGACCTCTGGAATTAACTCATGAGATATACAGGTGACTGTCAACAAGGTGCAGTTCTCTGTCTCAAGAAGATAAGAAAAGTTGTGCTTTGCTTTATAAAACGTTCGGTTTTGGCTGAATTTCATAATCAGTTTCTCATACTAACTTACGTGCACATAAATCTGTTAATGCTTACTTTATCATAATTTTTGTTCTTTCTCTCTTCTATATTGGTACAGAGAGGTTTGTGTGTGGGTGTTTGTGTCTGTTGACAAGACTGTTTTATTTCCTCTGCATAGCCAAAGATGACATGACTCACAGAATTCCACATCAGTTAATTTTAAAAGTTGAACTTGGCTAGGCACGGTGGCTCACACCTGTAATCCCAGCACTTTGGGAGGCCGAAGGGGACTGATCACCTGAGGTCGGGAGTTGAAGACCAGCCTGACCAACATGGAGAAACCCCAACTCTACTAAAAATACCAAAAAAATTAGCTGGGCGTGGTAGCACATGCCTGTAACCCCAGCTACTCGGGATGCTGAGGCATAAGAATTGCCTGAACCTAGGAGGCGGAGGTTGCGGTGAGTTGAAATGGCACCATTGCACTCCAGCCTGGGCAACAAGAGCAAAACTCCATCTCAAAAAAAAAAAAAAAAAAAGGTTGAACTTAAAGTTGGGGCAGTACAGCAAGTCCTCAGAAATTCTTATACAAACAATTCTGATAGATATATTGGTAGGACCTTTAGCTATAAATACATTCTAAAATAAGTCAGTAAGAAGACTATACAATCAGTCAAAACTTCAGATGGAGATTCAACATATGAAGAACATACATTCTTAAAGGCAGTTTACCTAGATGATCTGTAATCTACATTCTTACCTTCCATAATCTACTTTCTAGGAAATTTTCTCCTGAACTATGCAGCACTGTCCACAATTATTTTTTGGAATTATTTATTCCTGCAACTGTCTCTTCTACATGATTCTAAAGTAGTGAAAGCCAAAATCTGTCTACCTCTACCCTCTGGATACTGAGAATCAAAACCATACCATACTGTACATTAACATGACTTTGCTATTCCACTGTCTCCATTGACATGTCTTTGCTCTTTCCGGACTGTCCTGGTAAAGCAAGTAGTTTGGTTGTTTATTACGGGAACTTCATGAAAGGGCCGCCATCTCTTCAATGGAAAACATTAATAGAGAGTTTGTTTTCCACAATTCTTTGAATTGCCTCAAGATCCTTACTTTATGGTTTCCAT